TATATATATATATATATATATAGGGTCTCTCACACAGCAACACGAAACTTCCCACACCACGTATAGGCCCTAGACGGCCTAAACCACTATGCCATGATCCCTAAACCCTAAGTGACTCCCTGAGTAGCCTTCAAGGTGCAGATTTTCGACCCTCGCCACACGACATGACAGATCTCACTGGCATCTTTCAGGTCTCCACTTCCATGACCTGCGAGCCCTCGGCCAAAACCGGCACCTAAGGAGCACCCTGAGACAGGCTCTTAGGACCTGTGAAAAGGCGTGTCTATAGTCAGGGCCGGCCCCGCGGTCCGAGAGCGCTGCGGCACCTGACCTCCACGCAAGGATGCGTTTCGACTTCGCCCATGATCGCCTCTACATTCAGCTTGTCTTCATGCTGGCGATCGCCGAAGCAGGTGTCCTGATTCTTTTGGCAATGAACCGCCGACGTCTTCAGAGTGTCACCGGCATGGAGTCAGGGTTTGCTCCAAGGTCGCGTGGCTTCAAAGCTGCTCGTAAGCACCTTCTGCCGTAGCTTCGGCCCCCCTTCCATCGGAAATCCGACATCAGAGAAGCCCCAAATTCTCGACCAAAGCGTTCCTTCTGCAGGCCCAGGGCTTCCTGGAGATTCTCGCCAGCCGGACACCTGAAATGGCTGCAAATCCCTCGCGCCAAGTACCTCAACCAAGACATCTCAATCCTCAAACTCCAAATTCAAATCGAAGGCTATCAGAAGAGGTCCTGCTCAGACAGAGAGCATGAGAGCTCATTCCGGAAGCTCACAAATAGCAGACGACTTCGCTCGAGAAGGCATTTTCAGACCCCAGATTCTCAGATGCTGTCAGTGGTTTATACATAATGAGGGATCATAAGGCTCCCACTCTCGCACTCAGCAGGCATCAGCAGGCAAGGCTCCTCGTGACTGTTTAGGGTTTACGCTCTCGCAACTCGGACCTGCCGGGCGAGGTTCAATAGGTGTGGGTCGGCGTGATACAATTCTAGGCAGAAGGGCTAGACCAGCACGGTAGTTTGCAGTCAACGTCTGCGGACCGGGCACGTCAAGCACTTAGCCACTCGAGTGCCCGTATGTGTCCAGAAGCGAGATTGAGTCCTTAAGCAAAAGCGTGCTCCGAACAGTGCAGGTACGGGGTCATTGAGAGGTAGCCGTCCCTGTCGAGATCAGCAGCCCGACGTGTCAAGATATCCACATCCTCCGGCATCAAGCCTTCGGACAGCCATGAGTCTCTGTCGCTGTCATAGAGGTCGCGATCGCGGCGCTGTTTGACGTCAGGCAATGCCACGCAGCTGTTGGTAAAGTTCACGATCATCGTGGCACGCAGGGTCTCCAGTGGCTTTCGTGGACAGGGAACAGAGAGGTGTCCGGCCTTGCAGCGTCCGAGAGGACGGATTGCGGAAACTCGCAGTCGTCCACGACTTCCACGGAAGGTGCCATCGTTCTGAGGGACCCAGCATCCGAACCCGGATTCGGACAGCGCACCGGGAAGGCAGTACCTCTGTGCATAAGCAATGGGACCCTCAACAATGTAGGTTGCAATGTCCAGCGTAACTTTGGGGCTCGTTCTGGTGCACAAGAAAAGGTCCCCACGTGCAAGATAGTACTGGTCGCTGAGCTGGGGAGCACTTACAGAATACCGTTCGAAGCAGTTGGTCCAGCCTCGCTCCGAAAGCTTCCGAGCAACCGAGAACCGCGTTTGAGTCCATTCTTCATGGGATTGGATACCCACCATAACATCAACATCATGATCAACGACATCCAACCTGCCTTTCGAAAGCAAGCCACTCCGCCTGCCATGCCGGAGCAAAGCAATAAGTGTTCCCCTGCAGGGCCACCACTCCAGTCCTTCCGAATCAAAGACTGCAGCCGCATCTGCGAGCGCTTCTATATGCTGCTCGTCTGTGATCGTGGTCTCCTGGGAGTCCACCAGCCAGTCCTTCATGCTCTGCACTCGTTCCATCATAGAGCTGTGCGCCTTCAGAAGAACATCCACAGCCTGGCTGACTGGCCAGTAGCGAGCCTCGTTGTCCAGGCAGTCTCCGGACGCTTCCTTCATTGAGCGCTGAAGAAGTGCAAAGCGGTGAAATGCTTTGACATGTTCATGATTCGTGTGCGCAGCTCTGTTCTCAAAGATGTACATTTCCATTCCCATGCGGACAGCAGCAGCAGCCACGACGGCACAAGGACAAACGTCGGGCAGCACCAGCTCCTGTCTGCGCTCTATCACCGCGTGCACGAGGGACGCAAAGTGTGCACGCTCGGCTTCACCAAGGTCTTCCTGATGAATCAAGACACGTCGGGACAGTCCCAGGAACTGTGAGATGTTCAGCTGGTAACGCTTGGCGACAGCATCGCAGCCAGAGGAGAGTAAAGCTTCAATCCGTCTGAAAGAGAAAACCACCAAGTAACTGATGATCAAGTAGGCTCGACCACGCAACATGCAGTTCTTCAGATCGAGCCCAGCTAGGTCGTCTCACCGCAAGTTGAGAAAACTTCAACCTCGTCTCCCGGGGTCGGGAGCTTGAACTGAAGCGCAACCACTTCAGTGGTTTGAGCCTCCAGGCTTCCATGCAGGCTTCTGTGGTCTGGAGCTCGGAGCTCTGAAAGAATTCTGTGTGGCTCTTGGTGATCCTAAACTCCTAAAGCCCAAACGCTCGAAAATCAAAGCCACAAGTACTGCCCCTTGGTAATGGCTTGGCAGCGAACGACATCTTCTGGGCTCTGCGTGCTGCTCCGCCGACGACCTGCCAAGACAGCACACCACTCCCGAAAAGGAAGAAACTAAAACCTAAAACCTGAAACATGCAGTACCAAGACGAACAAGAACAACAATAACGCTACTTCTGCTACAACTACAGCACCGAGAACAAGAACAATAACAAGTACAAGAACCACCACCACAACCACCACTACCACCACCACCACCACCACCACCACCACCACCACTACCACACTACTACTACCACTACCACTACGATTAC